CGACGGACTGCTGGCCGTCCGTGTTGAGATGACGCAGGTTCAAGTGCTAAGACAGACATTGGTGGTGCGAATCCTAGTTCAGCGGTTGCGACGGCGCAAACTGGAGGTGCTCAAACTGGCTCAGCGGGATGCAAGCTGATGGTGCTGTCGGTGCTAAGAATGCTGGTGCCCACGTGGAGAGGACGTCCGTTGAGAAGACAAATTGCAGCTATGTCACGCAACCTTTCTGGGAAAGGGGGGAAAGGACCATAGGGCTGGCCCGAGTCGCCGCCCACACTGCGCTGCGCGATTTGCACTTGAACCTGCCCACCGGTGACACGCGGATACGCGCAGTGCATGCCAGTGGGGTGCAAGTAGGACACCACGCTCGTCAGCCCTGTCCAGCGTGTGTGCGGGCTGCGACTTTGAGCCGGACGGCCGACCATGCCCTTTGCCGTGTTGTCGGGGTGGACGCATCCCGCATCAACGGGTGTCGGACGCAGTGTAGCATGTTGCCCTGGTGCTGCACTTCGGCGCCACCCTCCGTGTATAGCCAGTAGCCTTTGCCCTGTGAAGGCAGCGCCATCAGCGCTTGTGGAAGTCCGCGTGAAGGCTGCAGGGAAAGACCACATTTTCAGCGATGAATGCGCTTGGTTGCTCCTGCACATGTGCGCGTCCCCGCGGGCAAACCACGCCATCCGCACTATGCCTCCATCCCAGTCCGCCGCTTACGCCAATGCCCATGATGAGGCTATGTGGACGACTCTGCAGGCATGTTTGGGAGGGATTCCGGCGCAGGAAGCCGCGCATGCCTGGGAAATAGCCACACTTCCGGCGGCGCACGGGGGCCTTGGATTGCAGTCGGCCGCACGGACGGCTGCTGCCGCTTACTGGGCCGCGTGGGCCGATGCACTCCCCGTCATCCAAACGCGACTCCCGGAGTGGGCTAACCGCTACCTCCGCTGGGACGAGGAGAAGACGCTGCCCCATGCTTCTGCGAGGCGGATGAGGCCCGCAAGCTCTTGATAGACGAAAGGTGGAACCACTGCCTCACTTGGGAAGCTATCCTGGAAGGCGAGCGGCCCGCCCGCCCGACAGACGCAGGCCCGGGGGACTGGCCGCACGGCTGGCAATTTCACGCGACGCGGACTCGCAACCTACACTTTCGCACGCGTGCTATTGCCGGCCATGCCGCCAAGCTTCCGGGCCATGCTCCGCTCCCAGGCTGGGCCGCACGCGGGGGCCTGGCTTTCAGCCATATACCAGGCGAGCAAAGCACGACCTTGACTCCGCAGGCCATGCTCCTGGCTTTGCGCCGTCGCTTGCGGCTACCCCTGCCCCTGAGCCCCCACCGGTGCGGCCCAAACCCGGGGTGCGGCCTAGAGGTCGACGCACTGGGGGACCATGCGCTGGCCTGTCCCCGGACAGGACTGCTGGCCAGACGGGCAAAAGTGTCCGCGTGGCTAGGGAAGCAGTCGGACCCGAAGGCCAAGTCGTGCCACAACAATGGCTCGCCCACACGACGGCCCCAGGAGTACGCCCAGATGACCGTAGGCGCCTGGACATGGTCGTTTGCGGAGCCACAACCAACGGGGGAGCGTTCTGCTGCGACGCCACGCTTGTGTCGCCGCTGACCGGCGCAGGTCACCCACAGACGCGCGGGGATACAGACGACGGCGCGGCGCTACAGGTCGCGGAGCGCCGCAAGCAGACGGCTTGCTTACCCCGAACTCACATGTGGCGGGCCACAGCGCCTGGTCGTGCTGGGAGCAGAGGTTGGCGGGCGATGGAACGCGCAGGCGCTCCGCTTCCTGCGGGATCTCGTCCACCTCCGCGCGCAACGCGCGCCGCCAGCTGTTCGCGCTGCGGCTGCGGGCGGCTGGTCCAGGCGATGGCAAGGCATCATCTCCATCGCAGTCCAGCAGGCCGTCGCGGGCACGGCCCTCGGACGCGCGTGGCCAGCCCAGCCGCAAGCGGGACCGGGAGCCGGGCCCAGCCTGGAAAGGGTCCTGGACCTCGCCGGGGGCGCTGGGGCGAGTCGGCTGCCGATGCGGCCGTAGGAGCTTGAAGGCACGGACATCACAGGCAGCTGGAAAAAGGTGCGAAAAAAAAAAACGCGAACGGCACGAGGCGCGGAACACTCGCTAACTTTTTTTTTTTTTTTTTCGCGCGCCTTTTTCCGCAGCCTGTCATAGCGGGGGTCGGGGTCGGGAGGGAGGGGCCTCACCGCCGCGGCGGCACGCGGCTGGCGGGCGGGGGGCGATCCCAGCGACCATCGGCCAGGACCTCGTGCAGCTCAGGCGCGGCATCATCGCCGTTGCTCTCACCTGCAAGGGGCAGCTCGAGCAAGGAAGATGCGAACGCGCGCTGGGCCGCAACGGCCAGGAGCGCCGCCCATCGCGCCACCCAGGCGGCCTGAGCCGCCGGTCGGAGGTGCGCTGGGATGGTGGCAGCTCGGTGGCGGGCCAGGAGGCGCAGGAAGGTGGCTGCTTCCGTGCCAAAGCGCCCACCCACTTCCAGGGCAATGACGACCAGGCGGCACCGCCGGGCACGGAGGAGCTCGGGGTACGTGCCATGTCGCTTGCGCCGCGCTGCTGCGGTGACAGAGCGCCCCGGCTCAACATCAGCCTGCGGGTGGGGCTCGCCCGTACGTGTGAGCGGGGAGACGAGCGTGGCGTCAACCGCGAGCCGCTAACTAACATGCAGGTATCTTCTTGGTGCCACCGGGGATCGAGAAATTGCGACGCGAGATTAGTTGTCTTTAACGTTCCTGACATGGCAAGCCGAGTGCCGTCGAAGGCGCACTCGAACGCTCAGCGTTTGATGATTTAGATTGGTGGCAAGTGTTCTTCGATCAGCCATATTTTCAATTATGCACAAAACCCTTGCAGCCCCACAGCCACTCACACAGCCACGCAACGGGGCGGAGGGGGGCGTGCGGGCATTGAGCATGGACGTGCATTTTGTATCTGTGACTCAATATTCATTCAAGCTTCTTACTGAAGGAACAATCTGCCGATGCGGGGTTTCATCGGGCACGTCGCATCGACATTGACTTGGAAGAAGGAGAGGCGCTTCAAGCACTTTCATTTGATTCGTGTTTCCTGGCGTTTAACCTGCATTTGTGCTGCAATTAGTTAGATTCTGCAGGTGCTGTTCGTGCCTGGTGGTGCTCCTCACCTCGTTGTCAATTTGACGGACACCGTGGCCTTTGCGGGCAATTTCCTGGACGAGTCCAATTTGGAGGCCGGGCACTGAAGAAAAAAACAAAAATTTGCAGATTAAGCATAAGGAATAATAAGAATAGTAATAATAGTAATAATGATAATGATAATGAAAATGAATAATGATATTGATAATGAGAATGAAAAGGAGAATGATAACAGTGTGACACCGACAAAACAACCGGTCGGAGGCTGCGTTGGTGGACATCAAAGCCATGGCCGCCAATGAAAACTCCGACAAGGCGGGGCCAAGATAACATTAGTGCAGCCGGGATCTCCCTAAACCCTCAACTCCTTAAACCCCAAACCCAAACCCCCAAACCCCAAACCCTAAACCCCAAACCCTAAACCCTGAATTCCCTGAACCCTAAACCCTAACGCGGTGGCGCTGGCTCATGCCCGAGCGCATGATTGCAGGCTGATGGAGGACCCATGCAAGGCCGGGATGCGTGCATCACCTTGTCGTGAGGACCAAAGGAACCCTAAAATTGGGACCATTTAGCTACCCGATCCTACTGTAATCCTGATTAAAGTAGAAATAACAAGGTAAATGAACCCTAAACCCTTTTTTGTCGTACTATATCCCTTGCTAATTAAGGTAAGTCAACCCGCACTATACTACCTGTAGTATCATCTTAACGCAACTGAACCTTCAAACCATCCATACACCCTTTTTGGGGGGTTCATTGGTCCTCAAGAATCACCTTGATGGTGCAGTAGCTCATGTTTGCGCCTGTTGTTGCAGCGCGGCTGCACAGGCTTTCTGACTGCCTTGGAGGAGACATCGTGCTTGCATTGATCACGTTTGTGAAACCCCGACTGGTAGATGATTCCCTAGAACCTGAACCCCTAAACCCTAAACCGTAAAAAACTCAAGTGGACTTCTGTGATGGCCGTCTCTCCCTTCCCGGTTATAATTTGCTTTTCATTTCTGTGGGATAATGAGTTGCTTAAGTTTTCTTTGTTTTGGGGGGCGCACCTGTTTTCGAAGTGCTTGGGTTTTCACATTTGTTTGTTGCCCTTGTGCCAAATGCTGAAAATCGAACGCTCTGGTTTTTTGCCAGTTCAACCGCGTTGGAGGCCATGGCAGTGGCATCCGCGCCAAACTTTTTGAGAGAATGAGAGCGGACCAGTGCTCCTGTTGCACCACAGCCGCGCTCGAGCGGTATGACGAGAGCAAACTGAGCAAACCCCAACCGGTCAGGGCTTAGGGTTTCGGGTTGATGTGCTTGGCCTCCCGAACTTGCAAAATTAGCTTTGTGCTATAGGCCTGGTACACGCCTCCTGTGCAGCAGCAGCAGCAGCAGCAGCAGCAGCAGCAGCAGCAGCAGCAGCAGCAGCAGCAGCAGCAGCAATGTGTGCGTGTACCATTGGGCCACCATCCATGCTTCTTCCATGCGATTACGCCATGCAGTTGCAGGAGATGGTCTTCGACCCGGACAAAGCGACCCATGAGGCCCCGCAGGGAGGCTTTGATTTTCTTGTTGATAGGTTTAGGGCTTGGCGACGTTTAGGACGTTAGGGTTCAGGATTTGGGGTTCCTGGCCGAAATACTGTGAATCACGGAATTTTATCAGTGATTTTTGTCGGGGCTTTTGTTTTGTCGGCCAACCTCCATTGTCGCGGACCCAGAGTAGGCCCTTACTCCTCTTATTTAGGAATCAGGTTCTCTTATAAACCCCTTTTTCCAAAAAGGGCACACTTTTGGGTTTAATTGTTGGTTTCCACAGTATAAAAAACCCTAAACCCTAAACCCTAAACCGCAGTTTCCGATTGCAGGACCAGTTGCCAGGGCGGATGCTGGCAGTGCGCTACGTGGACTTCGAGGGCGGGCAGTCAGCAGGCACATTTGGCGGGGGCGTTTAGGGTTTAGGGTTTAGGGTTTGGGGTCAATAAGGCCCAAAAAAATTGGGTCCCTTTGTGGGGTTCTCTTTTGAATACGGCCCCCTCCGTAAAGTGAGAGAAGCTCCAGTGGCACTCTGTTTCACCCTTCTGCGCTAATGCTAGGTTCTGTTCAAGGCTGAAGCCCTAAACCCCAAACTCTATATAGACCCTAAGGCACCAATTGGCCACAAATTTGCAACATCGCGCCGTGACTCTTTCCTTCGCCCCCGACGTTTGAAGGTTGGGGCCCAGTTCCTCCAGACGAGCTGGACTTATGACATTGGCAAGACATCGTTAAGCCGCAGACGCTTGCAGCCAAATGCTGTGCATCGCTGTGCATCGCTGTGCATCGCTGTGCATCGACCTGCCTTCTGCAACAAGCGGAAAAGAAACAGAGCTGCGACACTTAACCTCGATTGCATGCTGTCTTGGCAAAGAATGCACATGTGGCAGTGTGAAACTGGCGATACTGGCATGTGGAAATCAGCGAAGTCGAAGACCTGCGCGCAGGGGATGCAACCTGGACAGTGCCACTTGCCGAGCAGAGGCCCCCAAGGATTGCGAGCTGAGTCATTGGAGGCCGGCTGGAATCACGCGCGCTTTTAGATCGAAGTTATAGTGGTATCGCAAGGTAGAGCGGGGCGCACCCAGCCTTTGTTAATTGGCGCTTTTGGGAGCAGAAGCCTCTTGAGCCGGAATGTCGGATCGAGTGCTCCAGCTGTGGTTATAGACCGGTAGAATCGCAAGGTAGAAGTCATAACCGTCATGGCATGTCATGGCCACACATGGCCTGTACCTGGTACCTATTCGTGCATTTGACGCGGTTTTGCCGCAGTTCCTGGTCACATTGTTCCCACGATTGTGACGGCGGCCAACGCGTCCGCCTCTTGCCTCAGATGCTTCTGGTTCACTGAGTTTCCTTCCGTAGTCCATTGTCAGTCGTGGCCGGGCTGACCTAAGGACACCGACAGATCAAGGCAGCGTGGCTCTTGAGTCTGCCTCGTGTTTTCTGACTGTCTTGTGCCAAGCAGGTGCACCCATCATCCAAGTGATGGTTGTGTTGTTAAGCTACAGTAACCCTAAAGCCGCCTTAAACCATGTAACGGAATATACCCCGTTACTATGATAGAGACCCAAGAAGGGTGTTTCCGCCCCCTGCGACGCGACAGGCATACCCTGCCAACATGGGCAGGCCATGTGAGGCGGCTCTGTCGCAAACGCAGCCTTGTCCCCTCCTGAGCCAAACATTTAAATTGTTTACGACATAAATCAATATCATACCAACATAATTTACCTTTAATACCACCACAAATAATATTTAATCCATCATTATTAATCACACAGCGTTTCTTGCTGTCTCAAGTCGCTTTGCGGATGCTTTGAGCAACAGAAAGTGACAAGCTGGAGGAGGACGAGTGTTTAGGACAGCGCGCTCAGGTAACACGCAGACCTGCCTGGGCGAGCAGGGTCGGCACGACTGTCGCTGGAAACCATGGGAGGCTCGGAGTTTTGCTGGCGTTCTGTTTCACGTTCTGTCTGTGGGTAACCTGGTTTGCACCTTTCATCACTTTCAGGACTGGGAGGCTTGTACCAGGACACTCCGACAGCTTCTGATGTAGCCGTGTAGCCCATGTGTGCAATGCATCCGGGATTGCGCACGATGCCGAGGAGTTGCGACGGGGGCGAGCGGACGCGAATCTTCGGCATGTAAACAGCAGCTGCGTGATCTTGCGGTTGTGGAAAGCTTCCTCGGGGAAGCGTCTTGGCCAGGTCGGCGTGGCATTGCCGCAGAGCCCACCGGCCACGGACTGGCCTGCAAGGCACCCCTGAATACCGCCGACACATAGAACCTTCACCACGGGTTCCCCCCAACATAGTTGTGCTTCCCTCACCTGTCACTTTTGGCAAAACCAGCTACTGTTCACGCTATCCACCCTGCTCTTGCTTGATGCCATGGAGCCATCATCTGTGTCCCAGTGGCTCCAAAACGAGACGGTTCAGCAAACGACGCAAGTTCAACAAGAGTGTCAGAGCCATAGATGCCGATGCTTCACACCCCCCTGAGGCCCCGCGAACCCTCAAGTTGAGTGGCACTTGAACATTAGAACAAGAAAGGATAAGAAGGGGAGCCCCAGTGGTAAGCCCTTTTCCCTTCTCGTAGACTTACTGGCTCAAAACCCAATTTTTCAACTTTTGGGCTTCTTATAAGGTAGTTTATTCTGAAAGTTTCAACTTTTATTTCCTTGGGTTTTGGGCCAGTAAGTAGAAGGCTAGATTTTCTTTTAACAAGAACTCCCCTTAAAGCAAGCAATGGCGGCATGTGCATTCCTAAGCCTTTAGAGTTCCTTGGTAGCCCTAAACCCTAAACCCTAAACCCTTAACCCTAAACCCTAAACCCTAAACCCTAAACCCTAAACCTCAAACCTCCAAACCCTAAAACGCAAGTCCAGGCCAGCAGCTCGTTGGAGGCCGCGCCTTGTAATACCGCAAGTTGCTGGACGATGGCGGAGGCCCTCGGGCTCGGGAAGGGAGACGGGTTTAGGGTTTAGGGTTTAGGGTTTAATTAGGGTTTAGGGTTTAGGGAAGGTGGGCTGCAGTTCCCTTTAGTCAAGGTACTCGTCTGAGAACCAACTCCATAAACGGTCAGTTCCCTACAGGCTTTTTGGAGTACCCTAAATTACGAGGGCCCGGCCGCCTTACCATAAGTTGGAGAAATCACCACATATCACCCCAAACCCGAAAGTCTAAACCCTTTAAACCCAATAAACCCTATATAAACAGTATATATAAACCCTACAAACCCTATACAAAAAACCCTAAAAACCCTAAACTTGTATGCTGCGATTTACGCCACCGTTGGGCCACAGGTCTGCGCCTGGTCAGAGTGGGGAACTTTTGGGCAGTGCTCGAGGCGCTGCCAGCTGGCCAGGGGGTTGGGGTTTAGGGTTTGAATGTAGGGTTTAGGGTTTAGGGTTTAGGGTTTAGGGTTTAGGGTTCAGGGTTCAGGGTTTAGGGTTTAGGGTTTAGGGTTTAGGGTTTTAGGGTTCAGGGTTTAGGGTTTGGGGTTCCGATCCTCACAAACCAGAGGCCCCAGGAGCCCTGAATCAAAAAAAGGGTTTGGGGCTTAGGGTTGAGGATTTAAGGCTTTAGGGGTTAGGGGTTTTGGTTTAGGGTTTAGGGTTTAGGGTTTAGGGTTTAGGGTTTAGGGTTTAGGGTTTAGGGTTTAGGGTTTAGGGTTTAGGGTTTAGGGTTTAGGGTTTCGGTCCTTGTGGCAGGTCTTGCGGGAGTGGCCAGCAGACCCGGAACCGACAAAAGACGTGGCATTCTCCCGATGCAGCCAAGGCCGGTTTTAATGCTGTGTAGACTATTTTGGGTTTAGGGTTTAGGGTTTAGGGTTTAGGGTTTAGGGTTTAGGGTTTAGGGTTTAGGGTTTAGGGTTTAGAGACCAAATGAATCCAAAAACCCTTTTGGGGTGGGTTCAGAGTAGTTTCGGGTGTATCCCTGTAAGGGTTCATATTACCTGAGTTGACATGACAGTAGTAAACTAGGGTATTCGACACCAATTTTAGGGTTCATCTGGTCCCCATGGTAATGGTGCTGCGCAAGTCAAGGGCCAGGTGCCTCATGCGTGGCAGGTCGTATGGCTACTTTCCCTGCTCCTTCACGATTCTGGAAATTCTAGATGGGCGTTTACAACAATAGAGGACACCTGAAGATAGCCCCGCAAATAGTAGTAGTAGGATTCCCTGATAATAAGAACCCCAATAAGATACCCCGTCAGGAAAGCCCCGGAAAGTTGTTTCCTGACTTCATGCATGCAGGAGCTGGGCTTATTGCCATCTCGTAGACTGCGCGGCCCCCTGGGGAGGGGGGGTGGGGAGGGGGGGGGAGGGGCATTGGGTTTGAGTGGCACTTGGTGATGAAGCCTCCCATGTGGGTAGTTCGGTTAATTCGGGTCCCATGTTGGGTCCTCTATATAGTACGGCTGCGGAAGGCCCCCAAAAAGGGACCCTAATTTAGAGAGCTCCAAAAAAGGGGGGGGGTTAATGTGCATGTGGGGCCAAGGTCATCCCTGCAAGTGGAGTGCACCGGCAGGCAGAGGGAGATCAGGCAGGTTCCGGGAATGCATCTGCCAAAAGGTTGTTATGCATCCCGTTTTAACAAATAGCGTGCGTAGGTACAGTCTACGGAAAAAAAGGTTGGTTTAGGGTTTAGGGTTTAGGGTTTCGGGTTTAGGGTTTAGGGTGCGGCTCTCAAGGTAGGGTTGTTCAAGATTTGTGGGGTTGCCGCAGCGGAGCTGTGCTTGTGCAAGCATTGTCTCAACGAGGGCCCCCTTAGGATGGAAGGTGTTAGGATACTAAAACCCCAAACCCCAAACCCCAAACCCCAAACCCCAAACCCCAAACCCCAAACCCTAAACCCTAAACCCTAAACCCTAACCCTGTTATAACCCTAAACCCTAAACCCTAAACCCTAAACCCTAAACCCTAAACCCTAAACCCTAAACCCTAAACCCTAAACCCTAAACCCTATTCGGGTTCAGGCAAAGGTTTCGTTTCCTTATACAGCTTGTCGGATTCCAGCGGTTAGGGTTTAAGGGCTGGGCAGAAAGGGCAGCAGTCGAGTCCCTTGCGGAAAAGGGTTTAAGGCTTAAGGGCTTGAAAGGGTTTAGGATTTAGGGTCCCTAAACCCTAAACCCTAAACCCTAAACCCTAAACCCTAAACCCTAAACCCTAAACCCTAAACCCTAAACCCTAAACCCTAAACCCTAAACCCTAAACCCTAACCTAAACCCTAAACCCTAAACCCTAAACCCTAAACCCTAAACCCTAAACCCTAAACCCTAAACCCTAAACCCTAAACCCTAAACCCTAAACCCCAACCCCTCCAGGGCTAAGGGTTGGGGGGCTGTGTGCGTGTGTGGGGCTCGGTGGACGCAGCTGTGGGCCCGAGTGGGTTTAGGGTTTAGGGTTTAGGGTTTAGGGTTTAGGGTTTAGGGTTTCGGGTTTCGGGTTTCGGGTTTGGGGTTTAGGGTTTAGGGTTTGGGGTTTGGGGTTTAGGGTTTAGAGTTTAGGGTTTAGTGTTGCCTTGTGTTTCAACTAGTCAGCTCATTGTCCTCCCTGCGGGGTACGCAAGTGCTTGGCGCTGCAATGGCATCGTGATATACTTTCGAAATTGGGGTACCTTAATGGGGTCCTTGTCATGAGGGAATCCTACTATCTAGGGTCTATTTTAGGGTTACATCTTTTTCGTAAACCCCCAAATGATAATAAGATAAGAAGTAACATGTATATACAAAAATGAGAACCCAAAAGATCGCCTTGTGACAGGCCCTGTGGCCTGATCCCATGCACCTTGGCGGAGGCTCCCGTGAATTGCTTGTGGTGCTGCGCCTCAGAGCTGTTGTATTGTCTTGGGGGGCTGGGGGGTTGGGGTGGGGGTGCATCGTGCTTCAGGCTCAGCTTGCAAGCCCGCAGAGCTGTGAGTACTCGTGATATTGCCGGACTTCAGCCAATTCATGCCCAGCCCTGCAGTGGATCGATGGCAGAACCCAGGCGCCCGTGGGGAGATTGGGCTCCTGGCTCAGAACTGGAGAGCTCCGAATTTTTGTGAGGCTTATAGGCTTAGGGTTTAGGGTTTGAGATGCGTTTTGCAAGCAGCACACGGAGACCAAGGGCGACTGCGCCTGCTCGGGTTTGCGCACGCGGGAGAGGATCGTGGCGATGCAGGCTCTCCAAAGAGACTTCGTAGCAGCCGGGTCGCTGCATGATGCAAAGCCGCAGTAATTAACACAGATTCTTCAACAATGCACATGCCGGCAGCCTACTACATATACATATATATATATGTATATATGTATATATATATACAATTCCTATGAAGGTATATGAACCCTAAACCCGTTTAGGGTTCACTTGGTCCCCACGGAGGCATGGCATAGATTGATATGCGTATTGGGGTTATAGGTACATGTGCATACCCTAGACGATTATAATTTCCAATCAAGGTATATGAACGATAAAACCTGTTAGGGGTCGCCGTATGCGGGTCTTTCTGTCGGGTCTCCCACGCCAGGCCCTCCGTGGCGGCGTGCCTTGCGTTCTGCTCTTGGAGCAGATTTTCGGGGACAGCCCCAAAGTCTCTGTCAAAGCCCACCCTAAACCTTATATAAACCCTGAACCTTAAGCCCTAGACCTTAAACCCTAAATCCTGAAAACAGACCTTGCCTGCCGTGTGCGAGAGTGAGCGACGAAACCCTAAAAATCGCTCTAAAGCCTATCTTCAGCCAGCGGAGAAGTGCACTTACAGTCGAAATCCCTGCTCGCGCGTCCTCTACCAGGTTGGGGCGCTGGAGCAGACCTACAGGTCCTGTCCTGCTGCCTGATTCTTGGGGAACTGAAGCCCAAAAGGGTTTATGTTCAGGGTTCAGGGTTTAGGTTTTAGGCCTTGGTTTAGGGTTTAGGGTTTAGGGTGGGAACAAAAGCGCAAAGGGGTTTGTGGTTCATGTACCCGGGCAGTCCCTCCTCAAAAAACAAGCGACTAATCATAGCTTGGGATACAACACTACAAGATCCTAATTTTCGGGTTCATGTAGTTCCTGAGCACCTGACAGAGAGAGAGAGAGAGAGAGAGAGAGAGAGAGAGGGGAGAGAGAGAGAGAGAGGCAGGGAGGGAGGGAGGGAGGGAGGGAGGGAGGGAGAGAGAGTGAGAGAGAGTGAGAGAGGGAGAGAGGGAGAGAGTGGGAGAGGACTGCGGTCTTTGCTGTTCACTTGACAAATACCTGCAGATGCGAGCCTTCGGTCACGTGCAAGTCGCTGTGTCGCCGGCGTGCTTCCATACAGCCTAGGGCTTTTGTGGAGGATTGAAGGCCACGTGCGTTTTTAGGTGCTGGTGGCATCTATAAGTACTCCTACTTTCCTGGGCCGAGCCGAGGGGGGGAGGTTGGGATGCATTTATCCAAGGTTGAAAGGGCAAATGCTGCCAGCAAACTTGAGCACAGTTGGCTTTTCTAGTGCTTCTAAGACAGTAGGCAGGCCCGGCAGAATTCAAGCGCCGCCAGGAACGTGAACTGTGAGTTCGGCCTCTGGACGACCTGGAGTGCCTGCAGTGTGACTTGCATCCTCCCCAGAAATTCCTTCATTGCATGTGCGACCTTAAGGGAGTTAGACGTAGGTTTGGCCTACGCTCAGAGCCTTTCCAGGCGGTGCTGGTCAAAGATACCACACCAGAACCGTGATTGTGCACGCGCAGGTTGGTGTGCCGAGAGAGAGAGAGAGAGAGAGAGAGAGAGAAAATTCCTCACAGTAGCTGTTTTACATGAACATGGTAGTAGTTCAAGAATATACTTGTACCCAAGACAAGAAAATATTAGAACCATTTTGGACATGGTTTCCCCTGAAGAAGCGCTTATTTCATGGTCCATCTCTTGAAATCACCATTCGAACCCCACACGATGCTTACAGGCCTCGGGACACCGGTGTGCCGGAGGCGGGGGAGCTTTGGTGATGTCGCGATGACAACTTAGACCTCAGTCCTACAAGCACTAAACTCCAGGCCCTACGCCCTAAACCCTATGAGAACCCTAAACTCGGAGATCCCAAGCCCTATAAGCCCTATGCTCAAAACCCTATAGACCCTCTAAACTCCAAACCCTAATACCCCAAACCCCAAAACCCCAAAATTGCCTAAGTCCTCCCTGGCAGTCCATTTGGGGGTAGGCGCAGTGTACTTAGGGGTTGTAACCTACCATAAACGCAAAAAAACCTAAAACCTTTTGAAGGTATGGAGGAGGTGCAGCCCTGTACCATGGAGCCCTGCGGTTCAGCCCAAGATTGCCCGAAACCTCAGCGGGGTCACGGCAGAAGTTTTTTTTTTTTGTTTTTTTGGGGGGGGGGGGTTAGGGTTTTGGGTTTAGGGTTTAGGGTTTAGAGTGTAGAGTTTAGAGTTTAGGGTTTAGGGTTTAGAGTTTAGGGTTTAGGGGGGGGGGGGGAACGCTTGCAGGGTGTAACTTAAAAGCCCCAAACCTACGGTGTTTGGAGGTTAGTATCACAATGCCCTTCTTAAGGTTCTTCGGGAACCTGCAGACAAGTAGGTTTGGGGTTTTCAAGGTAGGGTTTAGGGCTTTCGGGTCTAGCACATTGAGCCTGGATGCAAACGCGTCTTTTAAGGCGACGGGAGGCGATGAACGGCGGGAGTATTGAATTGGGGTGCAGATCGTGGGCTCGGGCTTAGGCGTTAAGATCCTTCATGCAGGCTCTCTGCTGCTGGCTAACTGCTTTTTCCAAATCCCAGATTCAGAACCAGCTTTCGTAAAGCGTGTGCCTGTGCGGCTTAGAGACCAACAGCTTGAAGGCTTCAGGAAGCTACGACAACCACGGGTTCTTTGCAACCGCAATATGGCATGGCAGTTCGTCTTTATCAAGGACCCAGATCAGACTTGCTGCTCAGGACGCCAGTTTCAGAAAGTTCTAGGATACATGTGAGTCTTCCGCCAAATGGTTTAGGATGCTGGTGGGTTGCGGTCGTTGGGGTCCTGGGCATTTTTGTCTATGTGGTCGATAAAGGAAAGGGGAGGTAAGAGTCCCTTATACATGGGGAGTCCCTACCAAAAAGAGAACTCAACTTATGGTGATGTGGAGGACATGTTCTTTTTGCATCGCAGCTGCCATGTGTAGCTGTCCTAAACCCTAAACCCTAAACCCTAAACCCCAAACCCTAAACCCTAAACCCTAAACCCTAAACCCTAAACCCTAAACCCTAAACCCTAAACCCTAAACCCTAAACCCTAAACCCTAAACCTGTCCTGCTCACATGGCACCTTGAAGCCGCCAGAGTGGGCCCAGGCTTGTACACAGAGTGGCAGAGGCCCCAGATGGCCAGCCACTGGCATTCAGCTGCCAAAATACGGAAACCCAGAACCCTAAACCTCCCCCCCACCCCCCCAGGGTTTAGGGTTTAGGGTTTAGGGTTTAGGGTTTAGGGTTTAGGGCAACTCCCAAACCAGTGTGTGTGTGTGTGTGTTGGCCCTGAGGAGGTGGTTCATGGGGCGTGTTATGCTTGTCAGTTTAGGGTTTAGGGTTTAGGGTTTAGGGTTTAGGGTTTAGGGTTTAGGGTTTAGGGTTTAGGGTTTAGGATTTAGGGTTTAGGGTTTAGGGTTTAGAATTTAGGGTTTAGGGTTGTTGGTTCGAAGAAAAGAGGGCCCGGGCTCCAAGCGAAAAAGGAAACAAACACCTTTCCACCCCCCACGACCTTGCTCTCGAAAACCTCAAACACTTAGTTGCTGAGTGGGTACTCTTTACACTTTTTGGGATACCATAATCCCCTATAGAACTGAAAGTGTACATTTTTTGGGGGCTTATGAACTCAGCAACTCAGAACAAAACACTCAACAATTCGAAGCACTTTGCATCATCCCCAAGCAGAACCGATTCTCCTCAAGCCCAGTTGCCTGGATGACCCTAATGGCCCTAAACCCTAACCCTAAACCCGAAACCCGAAACCCTAACCCTAAACCCTAAACCCTAAACCCTAAACCCTAAACCCTAAACCCTAAACCCTAAACCCTAAACCCTAAACCCTAAACCCTAAACCCTAAACCCTAAACCCTAAACCTAAACCCTAAACCTTATCCGAAAAAAAAACTATCCCTTAGGAGTTCCTGGAGTGCCTGCAGCCGCGACTGCGGGGGTGGACACCACAGCCGATCCCGCGACCTCTGGCGTGCGCCGGCTTGCGGGGAGGGGATTTGGGGGCCTTCTGTAGGGGTTTAGGGTTTAGGGTTTGGGGTTTAGGGTTCAGGGTTTAGGGTTTTTGGAGTTTGGGGTTTAGGGTTGAGGGGGTGTGGGTTTTTAAGGTTTTAGGGTTTTGGGGTTTTAGGGCTTTTGTGTTTTTTGGGTTTAGGGTTGAGGGTTTTAGGGTTTTAGGGTTGAGGGTTGACCTGGGGCTCTATTTACCCGACAGTTTAGTAGTAACTACCCCTTAACTAGTAGGTATATCCCATTGAACTGTAAGTAAAGAGAGCCCCAGGTATGTATTCATGTTGTAAAACACGGTATGACCGAACATAAGGAAAGACAATATCACTGAGTATCGTATGAATAGCTTGTATATATGGGTTGTGTTTTTTTGGGGGGCTCAGGTTTAAGAAGGGCACACGGGTTGCACACCCGCGAAACATACCCCGTAACATACCCCGAAACATACGCCCGAAACATACCCCGTAACATACCCCCGAAATTGCAGGCAAAGTAGCTCATGATGCCTCGAAACATACCCGAAACATACCCCCGAAACATACCCCCAAACATACCTCGAAACATACCCGCGAAACATACCCCGACCCCAACACGTGTCGCGCACCTCCCCATTAAAATACAAACCCATATATACACACACACACACACACACATAATGCATCCTTGTTCGGAACGTAGGGTTGACAGGGCGTTGAAAGGCGCAGAGCCATGCGTTTGGATGGTGCTGATTGGTTCTCCAGGTACCGCCAAGAACGGTGGAGCCGAATGTCCCGAGGTCTGGGGCCTGGACGGCGAAAGCCCAAACGTGCCAAACCCGCAAGCTTCAAGATCTTAAAGCTTCCCAAACTCAGTGCTAATTCTCCGTTTCTCCTGTTGCATGGTGTATATGGCCCTTTTTCCGCTCAGGCAGACTTAGAAGAAACGGGCGAGTGCAACACCCAAGACTGTGTCGCGGACGCCTGGGGGAAGGTGTGAGAGCTGATCCGTCACTTGAAGGTTTAGCAAGAGAAAGGATTTGAGTGCAGCGGGCCGTATAGGGTGCCAGCGCGCTTCTCAGCATCACCTTCAGTCCATCATGGTGAATGGGCACACAGGGATGGAATGGTTCTCTACATTGGGTATATCGGCTACAGCCCTAAACCCTAAACACTAAACCCTAAACCCTAAACCCTGGCAAGAAGCCAGATCGACTGCACCTGGAGCACCTGGTCTTCTTGGCGGTCTTGCTCCACGTCCTGTGGCACGGGTGAGGACCTTTAGGGTTTAGGGTTTCGGGTTTCGGGTTTAGGGTTATGTCAGAGTCGGTTCAAAAAAAGGGTTTAGGGTTTAGGGTTGCCATTGCATGGAGAAGTCGGTCGCGTGGAGATGCTGCACTGACCCTGGCAGGCAAGGAGAACCCGGATCATCGTTCAGGAGGCGCGGAGCTGGGGTACAGAACAGCTGGCAGTTGCAACATTACATATACTTGTGTTTCGGGTTTAGGGTTTAGGGTTTAGGGTTTAGGGTTTAGGGTTTAGGGTTTAGGGTTTAGGGTTTAGGGTAACGCCAGCAAACGCGTGAGGAGCTTGACTGATGCGACTGCCACTGCATACCTTTCAGCAGAGAGCGGCGTCAGATTAAGTCAACCCATACACGCGCATTTGCAAGGAACCCCCTGAACCCTATAGACCCTGTAAATCCTCCAAGTCCTATGAACTCTACAGACCCTATAAACCCCCATAAGCCCTATAAACCCTATGAACCCTCTAAACCCTGGAAACCATCAAACCCTCTCACCCTAAACCCTAAACCCTAAACCCTAAACCCTAAACTCCCCTGCGTAGTAAGCTCCGTAGGCATGACCTCACGAAAGCCCCACCTCAGGCGGCGCACTCAGGGCAACCTTGCAGCGGCTACTTCCAGGACCTGGGGGTTTAGGGTTTGGGGTTTGGGGGTTTAGGGTTTAGGGTTTAGGGTTTAGGGTTTAGGGCAAGAAGGTATAAACCTCAGGCAAGCAATGCATAGCAAGGCTTTAGGGTTTAGGGTTTAGGGTTTAGGGTTTAGGGTTTAGGGTTTAGATTCATGTTGCATGGACTTCCCTGTTGCACATTGAGCGGAGCTCGTGTGGGTTCAAAAAACAAAGGGTTTAGAGTTTAGGGTTTAGGTAGGCCCTTGGGTTTCAGAGCACCATGTATAGGTGTATTTTCCGATGGTTTTACGAGCCGTCCTTGGCTCAAACGTCGGATAAGCCACCAGATGTTTAGGGTTTAGGGTTTAGGGTTTGGGGATGTCAAATGACCGCCCTCAAGGTACTCTTCCACGTTTGGGGTTTAGGGTGTACGGTGTAGGGTTTAGGGTTCAGGGCCCCCCCCCCCCCCCCCCCCCCCATCCCTCCCTTATCCGGATGCGTCTAGTTGATGTTCTCCGCCCATCAGGGCTTCACGAAGTTCATGCTCCTTACTAAGGGCTTTGGACAAGTTTGGATGTAATTAGGTAGGGGTGCAACCATAATACAAAACTCAATTCCCACGAATGTAAAAATGCATGGATTCGGTTCAACAAATGTTATGAATAAATGGCTTTCTTGAGCATCAAATGAACCAGATTCATTTGGCTTGTGTTTCAGAGATAATACATTGATGCTACAATTTGTGTAACATTCAGCTGATGTTTCATTTGTTGTTTATAGTTCAAGGGCATAGAATAAACACCCAGGTGCCCCGAACCACATGCCAATGGCTGATAGAACCAAATATCTATGTATACATATGTATATACAGATACATATATATATATGTATATGTGTGTATTTATTTATATGTTTTGTATTTATTTAGATATATAAACCCGGCTTGGATACTGAACGATTTCCTGCCAAACCTAAGCTACACAAGCGAATCCTGCCATGTGGCTTTCCCTGTCTCTCTCTCTCTCTCTCTCTGTGCGGCTCTGTCTTACTCTCTTTGTCTCTCTCTCTCTCTCTCGCTCTCTGTTTCTGGTCTCTCTCTCTCTCTCTTGCAATTCGATCGCCAACGATCGTCGTCCCCAGGAGTTTCGCAAATGCCAAGACAGACCTTGCGAGCTGAAGGACTGCCAGTTCTCTGCCGATGGCTCAGACAGCCAGCCACTACAGTCCCCTGAGTAAGACATGATCATGCTTATTTTGCCCAAGAAACCCAAGAGACACTATTCTTGCAACTAAGTTTCGAAGGGGAGTATGGAGTGCATGCCACACCATGTCCCAAAGATCCTGCGCGTCCACCCAACGCCCATGTCTTGGTCAAAAAGCATGGCTTGGATCGTGGAGTGATAGAACAGGATTGGAACATGAAGCCGCGCCCAACATTGCATACCCCAAACACAACACCCTAAACCCTCAATCTTCAACTACCCTAAACCCTGAACCCTGAACCCTGAGCCCCAAACCCCAAACCCCAAACCCTAAACCCTAAACCCTAAACCCTACACCCTAAACCCCAAACCCTAAACCCTAAACCGGCAACCCCATTCAAAACCTAGATGACAGAGCCTAGCACCCACCAGGCTTGGGAACATTGGAGCAGCTGCTCCGACAGGTGCTCAGTCTAGACCCTCGGATGTCGGGTTTAGAAGGGATTTGCGGTTTTATTCAGGTTGAGGGTTCAGGGTGTTTAGGGTTTTAGGGTTTAGGGTTTAGGGTGAACAATGGTCGCCAGAGGAAGGGCCTTGCAAGTCACCCCTGGCCCCAAAGATGCGCAGCTGCTGGGAATTTTTGAGGTACCCAAGTTCCTCATTCCCTACTAGGAGGTTCATGGTACTTATTAACCAACTATAGCTGTACTTATAACCATATTCGGGCACTTGAGGGGCTTAGTGGTTATTAAGTACCATGAACCTCCATGTACTAAGAGTGACTCGTAGGTCGTGAGGACTGGGCCGACCCAAGTCTGCAGGTGCACCGGCCATCGTCAGCGAAGGCGCAACATCGAACAGCAGGCCATTGGAGGCCTGGCACGCGGAGGTTTAGGGTTTATATAGGGCCTCGGGCGCATCAGGGTACGTACGCCCAAACGGCACGATGCCCTGTCTGTAGGGCTGTTTAAACCCTAAACCCTTATAAACCCTAAACCCTAAACCCTACACCCTAAACCGTACTCTGCGGGAGCCCCCATATGTGGGCTTGGCACCACTGAACTGGTCCTGCATTCCCAGTAGTACCCTTATTCCTCATGTAACTTGTTGAGGGTCATCCTCTTTCAACATAAGGGTGTCATTTTTTATTCCTAGGTTCCTGGGCCACAACAGGCCTCCCCCCCCCCCCTCTGGCGTACTCGCCAGCTCACGAGAGGGGCATGAGAACCCAGTGGCTCACGAACTCTCCTGAGGGATCGACAAATAGATGGCAACATCTACTGTGACACGAGCTATCTGTTGGTTAGCCGCAATCATAGCCATGAGGTGGGGCGGTGTGCACCGGCTCCACGAACGAACTTCGTCCCTGTGGCGTCACGGGCTGAGATGCATCCACGGTGGGCCCCCAGATTTGAGTTTCGGGGCTGAGGCTTCAAAATTCGCATGCGGAGACCTCGCACCTCGAAGATTTGTTTCCCCGAGCGCGCGCGCGCGCACGAAAATCTCACCCTAGGCCAGTCTCTTCAGCATCCCCACCGGAAAGCCGTTTGGGTTTCCGCAAAAAGCAAAGAAACTAAACCCTACAAACCCTACAAACCCTACAAACCCTAAACCCCAAACGCCATACCCCAAACCCTAAACCCTAAACCCTAAGCTCTTTTACAGAGTCGCACCAACCATCAACCCTGCCTGCGGTTCGGCCAGCTATGCGGCAGCGAAAAAAAAAACCTAAACCCTGCCCCTTGACCCAAGGCGATCCACGACACTTTCTGCTTGAGCTCTGGGGAGGCTGTGGACTGTGCCTTTGGTCCTTGGCGCTGGCCTCAAGGGGGTTTGTTTAGGGTTTAGGGTTTAGGGTTTAGGGTTTAGGGTTTAGGGTTTAGGGTTTAGGGTTTAGGGTTTAGGGTTTAGGGCTAGGTTTGTCGGCGCTGGCCTCAAGGCTGTTTCGAGGCGTTTCGAGGACTCAGTGGGTGGGCCCTCTGTAGGTCCCTTTGTTCAGGATCTACTGTAGGGTTTAGGGTTTAGGGTTTAGGGTTTAGGGTTTAGGGTTTAGGGTTTAGGGTTTAGGGTTTAGGGTTTAGGGTTTAGGGTTTAGGGCTAGGTTTGTTGATGGATCCCCTCTTTTTCCTCCCTGGTGGGGAGCAAAGGTGCAGTTCTTCCGGGTCTTTTCTTCGGCTTTGGGACGCGTCGGGGCTTCGGCCACAAGGGTTTAGGTTTCGGGTTGGTGCTGTAAGCCCTTGATACTGTTAGTAGAAGGGGCAACATCCCAACCTAAGAGGCTTTATGGCTCATAGTTACCTTGCTGGGGAGTTTCGTCGTGATAGAGGGCTATATGACCCCCAACTCAGGGTTCCTTTTGGTCTTCAAGTTCCCCCCCCCCCCCCCCCCCCCCCCCCCCCCCCTCCCCCCCCCTCCCCCCCCCTCCCCCCCCCCCAAAATGGGAACTATAGTAGTGTAAGGCTCTATGACCTCAAATTTGAGGGTTCCTTTGGTCCCCCCCCCCCCCCCCCCAAAAAAAAAAAAAAAAATTAGGGACCGGATAGGTGGCCTTTAACCGTTTTGGTTATACAGAGTCCAGCTCCATACAAAAGGTTAACCTTGTTTTGTGCCAGGGTATTCAGCCCCCTAAACCCTAAACCCGAAACCCCAAACCCCAAACCCCAAACCCCAAACCCAGAAGAAAAGGCCGAGTCCTGCTGCCTAGGTCGGCATGGTCCGACTGCTCCCGAGAGTGCGGCGGCGGTCAGCACACGGCGACCCGCCAGGTCGGCGAAAAAGTTAGGGTTTAGGGTTTAGGGTTTAGGGTTTAGGGTTTAGGGTTTAGGGTTTAGGGTTTAGGGTTTAGGGTTTAGGGTTTAGGGTTTAGGGTTTAGGGTTTAGGGTTTAGCCAAAGGAACCCCTAAAATTGGGGGGTTTTTATACTTGCACCCCATACAACTGCAATTCCCATTCAGGCAGTATGAACCCTATATAGGGGGGGTGGCCATAAACTTCTGCCCCATACCTATGCTACTATAATGCCCATTAAGGTAATATTGGGGTCCTAACTTATGCCCTAGACCCAAGGCTACTATGATTCCCATGAAACTAATGATGCGCCATAAACCCTTGTAGGGTTCACTGGGTCCCCAAGCAACCGCTCAACCCAACGCCCGTCAGGAGGCAAGGGGTTTCTGCTGTCCGTGTTGACCCGCGTGTTGTGTCGGCTGGGTCTTGGCTTGAGCCGCCAGTATTCGCCGAAGGCATGGTGCGGCGCGCGCCGCACCATGTTCAGCTTGCAAAAGAGGGCTTGAAACCCTTAATTTGATGCCAGGAAACCAATCCTAGCCCAGACCATCCTCCATGCCCGACCAAGCACGTGCCTCCCTAAACCCTAAACCCTAAACCTTAAACCCTCAACCCTCAACCCTAAACCCTAAACCCTAAACACTTTGCGAGGTCCTGCAGCACGCTGGGGGTGCAGGAACCCCATGCTCCGGGGCTTTGCAACGTCTCGAAGCCTGTAACCTCATCTACTGCCCAGGCGGGGGGGTTGACACTACATGGAAGCTTTAGCGGCCAAGTATATAAAGCAACAGCTATGCACCTGTCCCTGTGCAACGCGTAACAGCCAGGAATTTCCACTGTCATTTCCGTTACCCCTGCGCCCATGTCTTCCGTCCACCGGGTGGCGCCTCAGACCCTAAACCCTACTGTAGACCCTAAACCCTTAAACTCTCCGCAGGTCTCAGGACTGCTTGTCCCTGTTGATGGCATCTACCGCCTCCTTTGCATGTTGGTAGGCTCCTTGTTGAAATCGGGTCATATACAGAACCCACGTAGAAGTGTAGGTTCTGGGAGCAACAAAGCCGCAAACTCCAACCCACAGGCTTGATCAGGCTCTTTTCTTGAAAGGTTTAGGGTTTAGGGTTTAGGGTTTAGGGTTTAGGGTTTAGGGTTTAGGGTTTAGGGTTTAGGGTTTAGGGTTTAGGGTTTAGGGTTTAGGGTTCAGGAGAATCGTGCCCATCATCTTCAGTGTGCCCCAGCCCCCCGACCCAAAAAAGGTCTGCGATCTAATCAACCTTGGCCTACAGGGCGTAGAAACCTATAGAACTCCCCTTCCATCCCCCAACACCTAAACCCTAAACCCTCTTGTCTGTTCTTAGTCTTTGGGTTTGTGCTTGAGGGGAGGGGGAAGCTGGAATAAAGTAGACAGTGTGAGGAAGAGGGATAGTCTATCGCAACATTTTACGAAGCAGTATCGTGCATTTGTTCCCTGCAGTTTCTTTGGGCTAGGGTATTCACCCTTTTGGATATACACAGAATCCTTCTCGCTCTCTCTCTCTCTCTCTCTCTGTATATATATATATATACAGAAGGTTAACCTTTTTGGGGGCTAGGGTATTCAGCCCCTAAAAGGGGGGGGGGGGGGGGGGGAAATCAGCGGGCAGGGGACGAGCCGGTGGACTGCGAGCTCGGCGATTGGAGCTGCTGGGAGACAAGAGTTAAGGTTTAGGGTTTAGGGTTTAGGGTTAACATCTGGGATGTTCCCCCCTCTATACTAACAGCTCCTGAATCGGGAGTATACTAGGGGGTACTGTAATCCCTATTAAGGACTTGAATGGGGATTATAGTAGGGGCACTATGTATAATAGGGGGTACTGTAATCCCTATTAAGGACTTGACTGGCGATTCTAGTAGGGGCACGATAATCCCTATAAAAGGACTGTTAGTAGAAGGGGGAATATCCCAAGTTAACATTAATGGTTGAGGTTATTGTTGTCGTTGTCGTTGTTGGTGTTTGTTTGTTTTTAGTGTGATTTATTGCTAGTAGATGTAGTACCTAGTCGTAGCATAGGGTTTAGGGTTTAGGGTTTAAGGCTTAGGGTTTAGGGTTTAGGTGCGTGAGTTCACGAAGAGGGTGCAGGAGATTTGCAGTCGAGGTTGCCAAAGACCAGGGCCTGTCAGGTTTCCTTTTGCAGCAGGGGCCATGGTCCTGTTAAAATCCCGAGGCCTTCGGTTCAAAAACATACCCCCTAAGCCCTAAACCTTAAACCTTAAACCCCAAACCCATGCGTCAGACTTTCGGGCCGAATCCTTGCCTGCCTTGTGCGAGTGTGAGAGCCGAAACCCAAAACCCTCTCTTTCCAGACTTCCAGAACCTGATTTTTGCAGCTGGAGTTGAGTGAGTGAGCGAAACGGCTCACAGAGGCTACTGCGTCCTACACCATCTCCGCTAACCCGCTTGTAAGGGACCCTACAAAGAAGCAGGTTTCTAAACCCGAAGCCCTAAACCCTAAACCCTAAACCCTAAACCCTAAACCCTGAACCTTATGCTCAATTCTATAGAGGACCAGAGTGGCAAAAAGTGCGAGGTGCCTGGCGGCCCTGTTCCGCCAGCTGCGGCGGTGGAGAGCTCCGAAGAGAAAGGCGGCTGCTGAGCGTTCTTGAATACATCGTGCGTATATTTGGGTAATTCTCCAAATTTTGGAAAGTCTAGTAAACACAGTGATTAGCTACATTTGATGTGCATAGTGTGTGCGTGTATGAAGACGCATGCACATATGTTGTGCAACATATGTGTAGTGCACATTTCCTGCATAGATGCATATACACACTCTCTGCATATGTAGGTCTATATGTAATGTAACATGTATATATATATATATATACATTATTGTTATGATTAGTGTTGTTATTATTATTATCATCATGTTTATGATTTTTTAGTATTATTGTTGTCATTGTTTGATTATTATGATGATTATTAGCATTATCATCATCATCATTAACAGCATGATTATTATTATTAATAATAATAATAATTAGCTTATTTATTTATTCATTTTCTTGTTTTTTCATTTTTGATTTATTTATTCGTATTACATGTGTGTGTGTGCGCAATACATAGTATGGCCTTGCTGAAAGTACTTTCTTCGATTTTGGGCGTAGGAGATCGGTCAGGTGATCCATATTATGACGCCTCATCTGCGAAGTCGCACCACCCCTTGTGTATTACACATCATAGACGCAGTGGAAATGTAAACTATGCCATGGGGGCAGCACTGAGACCTGCTCTTCGTGCTTCGTCGGACTTGCTGGGTTCAGGCTCGTGAAGACTGCGCCCAAAAATGGGGGCACGCCTTGCGCTGACTCCTTTACCAGCCAGGCCACTCGACAAAAAGTCTTGTCTGCTTTTGGGGCTGCGGCTCTAGTATTTTGGGGGACCCATTCTATCAACCCTAGACCCTAAACCCTAAACCCTAAACCGGGGGGGCGGGGCGAATTTTACCTAATTTTCCGGTGCTTTGCGTTTTCGGAGGGTTCGGGGCTGCCAGGGCTGGATGCGCAGCCACACTTCCCAAGGCTTGATTTGTCAGGGCCTTTAGGATCGTCTTCGCATGCTCAATGTTGGGGTTTAGGGGTTTGGGGTTTAGGGGCTATAGAGGGATTTGAGCTTCATGTCTTCGCTTGCTGGCTCAATGTTGGGGTTTAGGGGTTTGGGGTTTAGGGGCTATAGAGGGATTTGAGCTTCATGTCTTCGCTTGCTGGCTCAATGTTGGGGTTTGGGGGTTTGGGGTTTAGGGGCTATAGAGGGATTTGAGCTTCATGTCTTCGCTTGCTGGCTCAATGTTGGGGTTTAGGGGTTTGGGGTTTAGGGGCTATAGAGGGATTTGAGCTTCATGTCTTCGCTTGCTGGCTCAATGTTGGGGTTTGGGGGTTTGGGGTTTAGGGGCTATAGAGGGATTTGAGCTTCATGTCTTCGCTTGCTGGCTCAATGTTGGGGTTTAGGGGTTTGGGGTTTAGGGGCTATAGAGGGATTTGAGCTTCATGTCTTCGCTTGCTGGCTCAATGTTGGGGTTTGGGGGTTTGGGGTTTAGGGGCTATAGAGGGATTTGAGCTTCATGTCTTCGCTTGCTGGCTCAATGTTGGGGTTTAGGGGTTTGGGGTTTAGGGGCTATAGAGGGATTTGAGCTTCATGTCTTCGCTTGCTGGCTCAATGTTGGGGTTTGGGGGGTTGGGGTTTAGGGGCTATAGAGGGATTTGAGCTTCATGGGGCTGGCGAGTCCTTAAGTTCAGGGGCCCTGGGAGGGTTTAGGGTTCAGGGTTTCCCTAAACGCAAGCAGAAGGTTTGACTTGGATCACGACCCCGGCACCTGTCTGCACACTGAGAACACGGCCCTAAATCCTGAACCCCATTCAAGTGGGTTTAGGTTTAGGGTGTAGGGTGAGGCTGCAAAGCAGGTGACCCAGAAAGAGCTATGAAATGGCGGCCCCGAACACTAAACTTTCGAGAGCTACGAGCCTGAGGCCGAGTCATGCTGGCAAGCTTGCCTAAATGAAATCCGCAACAAGTTGTCAACATTCTCCGCCCCCGCGTCATCTTAGCTGTCTTAGCTTCAATAAAGCTTAGCATCTTAGGGCCAACGCCCAAAATTTTAAAACCTTAACAACCCTAACTGCGCCCTATACACCCCACACAAGCCCGAAGCCCTCAACCCCAAACCCTAAGCCCTAAACCCTACAAACCCTATAAACCCTAAACCCTATAAACCCTAAAAAACTAGACCCCTTATAAACCCTAAGACCTAAACCCTAAACCCGAAACCCCAAACCCCAAACCCTAAGCCCTAAGCCCGAAGCCCTAAACCCCATAAGCCCTAAACCCCATAAGCCCTAGACCCCACAAACCCTAAGCCCCATGAAGCCGAGACGTTGTCCTCGCGGCCTTGGCTTGTCTTGGCAGGTACGGCCCTGCAACACCCAGACTTGCAGCTCAGGGTTGCCCGGCTTAGGGTTTAGGGTTTAGGGTTTAGGATTTAGGGTTTAGGGTTTAGGGTTCAGGGGCAGGGGGGGGGGTTAGGGGAGGTTTGCGGGGTTTGGGGTTTAGGCTTTAGGGAGTGTAGGGTTTAGGCTTTAGGGTTTGAGGGGGTTTAGGGTTTAGGGGGGTTTGAGGTTTAGGGGGGTTTAGGGTTTAGGGGGGTTGAGAGGTTTGAGGGTTGCGGGGGTTTAGGGGGTGTAGGGTTTCGGGTTGAGAGAGTTGAGGAGTTGAGGGGGTCTAGGGGTTTTGGGGGTTTGATTTGGGGTTCATAGGGTTTAGGGGTTTGGGGTTTTAGGGCTTGGGGCTTGAGGGTTCAGGGCTTCAGGAGCTTCTGGGTTGCTTGATAGGACTTCAGGGGGCTTTTCGGGTTCCTGAGGTCAGGAAGTGATGCAGAAGGGTTCTCGTGGGTGGTGGGGGGGGGGGGGGACGGGGGTGGGGTTTGGGGTTTTAGGGTTTTAGGGTTTAGGGTTTAGGGTTTGCGGCTTTAGGGGTTTTAGCCGTGACTTGTGGGGAGGAGAATCCCATGGCAACGCTCGAGATCGAGATGTGCAGTGGTCATGGGCGCACCCTAGCCCTTAACCCCAACAAAAAACTACAAACCCTACAAACGCTATAAACCCCAAACCCGAATTCCTAAACCCCTAAACCCTAAACCTCAAGCCCTAAACCCTAAACCCTAAACCCTAAAACCTACCAAGTTCAAGCTTCTGACAGCTGTCGGTCGGCCAGAGGCTTTGTGCTTGGACACATTGGA